GCAGAAGCTCTGTTCTTCCCCATGCTTTGTTATGTTTGTTTGTTAGTTTATTTATTACACAGTGAAATCAATATACTGCATAACATCCTTGGCTGCTTCTCCACCACCAGCCCCACAGGGGGAAAGTTATGGCTTCCTGCCCTGTTCCATGTCTCTTTCCTTTGTAAACTCCAACCCCAACCAAGCATGACATGATGTTATGCCACAGCCAATGTGCAGGGGGGGATGGGTCTGAAGCAGCAGCTTTACCTGACTTCCATGGTATCATTATGGAACAGGAAAGGTTACAAGATTCCAAAGTGCTTGGTGGTACTTCCATGCCTTTGCTAACCTTCTGGTTTTCAGCACACATATCTTCTTCTGTGAAACAAAATCGTTCAGACTGTGGACTTAAATCCTGAGATTTATAATAACATACGTCCTTGCATCTTGTCCCAGATGCAGTGCTGACTGAGTAGCCTCCTTCTACAGTTTGCAAAAAGGAAGCTTAAAAAAAGCTTACTCAAATGCTGAAAGAGCAAACCATGCCTGCCCTATTTGTTTTCTGTTCCCTTTCTCTTAGTAGCCTTCTTGAAGCTTTCCAGATGTTGTGGGATCACAATATCCATACTCTCCAGCCAGGAGTATTGTCCTGCAACTCCTGCCATTCCCAGCCAGTGATCCCTGTGCCAGACTGGAAGTAAAGTTGTCAAAGGCAGTGAAGCTTTTTGTAGCCCTGACAACATGATGTCATCCCTTCCTCTGAAAGCTTGGGGGCAGGCTCCAGTTGTAGACCCCTTATTTGACACTTCTTTTAAGCTGAGAGTGGATCTTGCTCATGGCTGAGGGATAAAGGACAGTGAAAGTGAATCAGTCACAATGGCATGCTCACCTATGTGATCTGTCTCCAGTCACGGTGAAGCTCTTAAGGCTGTCTGTCTGCTACAAATCACCCTTCTCCAACCTGGTGTGCGATGGAGCATGTCTCTTGCTATTGCTACCCAACACGGCCTTTGTTATTTGGGATGGTGGGAGCTGTGGACCAACACATCTGGAGACCATCAGTTGGGATACAAATCAGGAGAGTGGGGTGGCAAATTATTGTGCTTCAGGCCAGAGTAATGGCCCTTTCTTGTATTCTGACTTTTTAGTGTGTGACTCAGACTTCTGTTTTTCAACTCCACTTTTTCTTTGCACAGGCACTACTAGATGGAAATATTTTTAAAAATGCCACAGCCAGTCCTCAGATACTAAAACATCCAGTTTCTTGCTCCAAGAATGATCTCTGGCATTTCCACCTTAAAACCTGGAAGGATTGGGGTGATCAGCTGCTAGGCACATTAGATGAATCAATTTTGGGCTACATGGAAGAGCCATCTGGTTTAAAGTGAAGCAGTTTGGAAAAGCCCCCAGTTCAGAACAAGAGGGAAATTGGGTCCAAAATGTCATGATTGACTAAGGCACCAGGCTAGAATCCAGGAGACTGCAAACTCTAGTCCCGCCTTAGGCACAAAAGCTGGCTGGGTGACTTTGGGCCAGGCACTCTCTCTCAACCCAACTCACCTCACAGGGTTGTTGTTGTGGGGAAAATAGGAGGAGGAAGGAGTATTAGGTATGCTTGACACCTTGAGTTATTTACAAAAATAATAAAGGCAGGATAAAAAAATCTAAAAAAAAATTGGGAACAAGTAAAGCTGCAAAGCTGGGCTTTGTTAGGAGTGAGGAAGAAGCATGCAATAAAGACCTAAAGATGTGGAGCGAGCTATCAAGTGATAAAGAACTTTAGAAGAATATAATATGCCAAGGGAGCAAAGAAGTATGAGCAAAACTTTACAGAGTTACAAGAGACTTGGGATCCTATAGTACGGTATAATAATTTAAAAAATAAATAAAGGTGCCAACGTGGCCCATTTTACTGTTTAGTCAAAAAAGTTAAATGTTCCACTTGCTCAAAAGCATGTGGGATAGCTTCCACTCCTTCTCTTGCTTCTCTTATTTTTGTTAGCACATTTCTCAAAGATTTGAAACTGCTCTATTCTGTCTGTTGATGAATCATCAGCTATCCTTGGGGACAGGGGGGACTCAAAGGGTAGAGAGGAGCTGAACAAAGAAAATAAATCCATTGTGGCTCATCCAGAGTGTTCCTCTTTGGATGTGTTGCCTCTGAGCTCCCTTTCTCTGTTGTCATGTTGTAGGGAAGGAGCATTGGATTGTATAACATGCCTGCTCTCCAGCAGCTCCTTTTCAGATTAGCAACCAAGATCCTTTCATCTGGGGATACTAGGCAGAATTCTCAGGGCAAGAACGTGATGCAAGAAACTAGCTTTCATAAAATATAAGAGCTAAGATACAGATCGAGCTGAGGCTGAAAAGAGCCCAGAAGGATCAACATGCTAGGACTTGCCTAGAATATTGTCACCCCAAGCAACCACAACAATTGGCCTTTCCATTCCCAGGGTCCTCCAGGATACTTATTTCAAGGATTCCTGAGATGCATCTCTGGAATCAAGGTTGACACTTCTACAAATATTGCTGCAGCTAGTGAGTATATTGTGCAGTCCAGCCAGCCCCATGGATATCAAAGGGAGGATTATCCAATGGAAGTCACGGGGACAAGGCTTAAGATGGGCCAGGCTGCTGGAAAGGTAAATAAAAAGGGCTGTTGCATTCAGCAGTTTAAGATGTGGCGAAATCATCCCATTAATTGACTCTTATTGCATGCTGAGCAGACTTGGTCAGGAATTAGGAGAAATTCAAGAGGAACCATTGTTTTACTTAGTTGATTCCAAACATAGAAGCTCATGTTTATATAACTACAAGATGCTTTGTAAGGTTCCAAAAATAGGCTCAACTTTTAACTGGAGGGAATGCATCGAGACTATTCCCTAGAAAGGGGGTGTAGTCAGAGCTGTTTTTCCAGGGCTTGTTAATATGGCTGGGAAGTAGAGGAGAGGTTTGGCTATAGAAAGGCTTTTATTTTTTGCTTATTTTAACCAACTTATTTCAGTCAGTAATTTTATGCTTTTTTTTTCTTTTTGAGAGGGGGATGTTGCTGAAAAATCCATTCAGAAATGGATACCATGTGACAGATGCTACTTGGGGGCTGAGGAAAGCTCCATAACATTTGGAACAGCAGACCAACATAAAAAGTGACAAGATGAAAATGCAAACTTGCCAGTATTATGTTGGTCTGTGATTCCAGTGTTTTGGTTTAGGGCTGTGCAGAGATCTGGATCTGAAAAGAAGATATGATTCAATATGTGGGTGTGCACATTGCACCTATTGGCAACCCTCTAAAGAAGATAAATCTTGTCCTGAACTCAAATGTCTGTGCTCCAAAGTGGAAGCATAATCTCAGGAAAAATGAATTTAAAGAGTTGCCAATAGGTGCTGTATTTTCACTCATACATGCTTGGAAGAACCTTTTCCCCTTCAAATCTGGATCATTGCACAATTGAATTCTGTCCACAGTTCCCAGTCCCATTAGCATTATCACCACAGGACTCCAGACAACCTTCTCATTATAAGATGGTATGATCAGCTATTCCTAAAACAGTCTTCCCTTGTCTGCTGTCCTCCAGAGATGTTAGATCTGTATGCTGGCTAGTAATTCTGGGAGCAGCACTTACAGCACATCTGGATGAAACTAGTTTAGGGAAGACTGCCCTAGACAATTAGTTTTGACAGCTAGTCAACTGAGATCAACTCTTATGAGATATATCTTTCTCCAGATTTCCAAGTTTGAGACACAAGGTTTCAGATCAGCAATTAAGAAAAAAACCCACCTCATGACATATGTTTTTGTTATACTTGTTTATTAACTGATATAAAGGTTGGAAAGGGGGCACAGGCAAGCTTAAAGACAGATAAAGGATCTCAAAAATGGCAGTCAGCGAGCCAGCTTGTTAGAGTGCTTCAGATGTTGGCTAGAACCAAGTTTGTGTTCATCCACTGAAGCTCACTAGGTAACATTGTATTCTCTCTCAGCCCAACTCATAGGGTTGTTATAAGGATAAATTGGAGGAGAGTGCGAGGTATGCCACCTTGAGTTTTTACAGGAAAGACAGGATATCAGTCTAACAACTAAACACATAAAATGAATAAACTCCCCTGAGCAATATTATATCTTTGGAACCCTTGTATGTTCCTTCGTCCCAGTCAGGCGGGTAGACCAAGTAGCTAGGGTCCTCCAGCCATCCAAGCATGTCTTCAGTTGCTGATCTCTTCAGTTGCTGATGTTGTTGTTGTTGTTTAGTCGTTAAGTCATGTCCGACTCTTCGTGACCCCATGAACC